TTTTTCTTCAGTTTCGTTATTAGGCTCTGATATGAATTTTAGGGTAAAATTGCGGAAAATAGTTAAAACTTAGATGTAAGGGTATAATAGACAATACATCTATAGAAAGACAAAATTATGTCAAAAGTAATGTAATGGGGAATGTACAAATAGCTTAATTCTTGGAAAATAAGTAGGGAGGCTAAATTTAAAAGACGTTGACGTGAAACTTGTCTAATAGTGTCGCTGCAAGTCTTAAAACCCTAAACCCCAATTAGTCACTTCTCCGAGAAGCTCCACCACGATCGTCATGGCTTCCACCCCCGACGGTGGCACCAAATCGGCGGGACTCGACTCTCTCCAAAAACTGAAATCGACAGAACCACCGTTCTTCCTCTCGCCGTCACCGGACCTCTCACAGGCTGCTCGAATAGCCTCGGAGTACCTATTCTCATCTCTCAATCCATTCACTCCCAAATCTCCGTTCAGTCACCTGTTGACCGAAGGATTTGACGCCGAGCAGATTTGGCAGCAAATTGACCTGCAATCCCAGCCCCTGCTCCTCTCCCTCCGCCGCCACGTCAAACACTTCGAGAAAAACCCTAAAAAGATTGAGAAACAATTCGATTTGGGGGGAAATAGGTTTAGTGAAAATCGAAAAGAAGAGACTGAAGATGGGAATGGGGATGAAGATGATAAATTAGTGAGTGGAGAAGGTGAGGATATAAATGATTTAGAGAATGAGAGCGAGGGCTTTGATGAAGACGAAGAGGAGGAGGATGGTGATGATGATGACAATGATGGTGAAATGGAAGACGAGGACAAGGGAAATGAAAATGGGGTGGAAGATAAGTTTTTGAAGATAAAGGAATTGGAGGAGTATTTGGTGGACGATGAGGAGAAGGAATATGGATTGAATAAAGAGAAGAAGAAGAGGAAGATGCATGAAATTACGAATGAGGATGAAGATGAAGAGGAGGACGATGAAGATGATTACAATGAGGTAGGATTATGGAATTTCTAGGCAATTTTTGAGTTTTTTTAAACTATGCTTTTTCTCGGTTTAGTAAATTATGGGATTGAAGTGTTAGTTTAATTAGGTTTGAAAAATCATTGAGCTAATACTTTGATTTACATTTTTTTGCAGCTTGGATTGATGGGGCTTGATGATGAGGATGAAGAAGAAGATGGCAACAAGATGGAAAATGCAAGGTTTGATTTTTCCCTGCCCGTTCTTTTGCTCTTTTTATTCCATTTATATAGTTGTCATTTTTAAGATTTAAAGAAAAGATGTAATGAAAACCTGTCTTGTGTTTGAATATAAGGGTTGAAGTATCGGCATAGCTTGTTTGAAATTCAATTTTCCTCACTCATTTTGTACATTCTCCCAATAAAATAATCTTGGACATGGACCCATAACTTTTCCATACTTCCTCACATTCTCAAAAAAGAAATCTTTTATCACTTCAAATAATTCTCCCAAATAAACAACTGGATTGAAGGTCTCTCATTGGTGTTGCTTTTACAAGTATATATACCCACACATCTTAAAGATGGCTTTTTGTCTGTGCCATTCAGGTATGAGGACTTTTTTGGTGGTAAAAAAACTGGTCAGGGGAAGAAATCTAAAGTATTAAGTGGATCAGATGATGATGGCAACAATAATCAGGTAAATTATTTTCTTTGCATCTGACCCACCCTCCATATCTGTATGTGGTTTAGACCAAAATAATAATGTGATAATCTATATGGAGTTGTTGAGGAATTGTTGCCCACCATTGGTACCAAGTAATGTACTCAAAAAGTATTATTGTTTTTAACTATTACAGAAGAAAAACAATCTTTCTACCCATGAAAAAGAGCTAGAGAAGCTCCGTTCTGAGATAGAGGCAATGGAGAAAGCGAATTTAGAGCAAAAAACCTGGATGATGCAGGGTGAGGTAATATTTTTCAATTTTCAATTTTTTTATTTTTCATAGCTATCAACTTATGCATATGAGAAAATTGTGATTTTTTGTTTGTTTGTTGAATAATGTCAGGTAACTGCTGCTAAAAGACCAAAGAATAGTGCATTGGAAGTTGATCTGGAATTTGAGCACAATGTTAGACCTGCCCCTGTAATCACGGAAGAGGTCACTGCATCCCTTGAGGAGTTGATTCAAAAACGCATCATTGAGGTGAAATTTGACATCCTTCCATGTTTTGGAATTTCGGTGTTTATATGTATGAATAAGTTATTCTTTCCCTTCTCCATTATAATTAGCTCTAGTATTTAAAGATTTCTTACATGTTCTTTTGGTATATTAATTTGAATGATTGAGATAATAGATATGCCAAACAATCACAAAGAAAAAGAGTGTGTATTTCCCCTCCCTGCCTTGCTCCTTTAAGAAATGCACATGCTGAAGAATTTTGGTTCAAGGGAAGCTGGAGGGGAGTTTTTTCCTTTTTAGGGGTTGAGGGTGCAGTTTTAAGAAACTATTTATGCTGACTCTATGTTGTGGTGTAAAAGAAATGGTGGTTAGAAAAAGAAAGATCAAGACGATTAGTGAAAGAGAAATCTTTTTATTTTTCCTGATAGCGTATTTCTAAGATTTATGCCTGTTAAATTGTGAGTGCTGGTTATTGTTTCTCACTGAATCATCATTATCCATGTTACCATATATAGGGGCGTTTTGAAGATGTCCAGAAGCCCCCTACTTTACCATCCAAGTCACCAAGAGAAAAAATTGAATTGGTACATATTTCATTTTCTTCAAATCTTTCTCCTTGGAGTTTATTTCTTTCCTAATTGTAGTAACTGTAAATTTACAGGATGAGAATAAGAGTGGAAAGGGCCTTGCTGCACTTTATGAGGTTGGTATCTTTCCAGTGGGTAATTTTGGTATATTTTTTGTGATATACACATTCATATTGTAATATTATACGAACTCTTTTGACAGTGTGAACGTTTTTCTTTGTATCTTTTTTTCCCCCCATCACAATGATATGGAACATTTTTCCTTGCAGGATGAATATGTTCAGAAGACTGGCCTAGTTTCAACAGCAACGTCTTTTAAAGACGAGCAAAAGAAAGAAGTGCGTTAGTTACACTTTTCTTGTATTATTTACCATTTTGTATTTAATCTATATTATGCAATAATGATATAGGAACTCGAGAAGCTTGTATTCGTTGTTTCTGTTTTCTGTTGCGACTAAAAATAATATTTTTTTTTCTTATTGTTTTCGTTGATTATTAGGTAATTTTGTTAACATTTTTACTGATTAGTGAGTCACTCACTCTTTTGTTTTCCTTTTCAGGCAAGTTTGTTATTTAAGAAACTGTGCTTAAAATTGGATGCTTTATCTCATTTCCACTTCACTCCGAAACCGGTATGCATCTTGTTTATTTTAATATGACTCATCCTTTACTTCTTTACCAAAGTTTTATTGACTTCTGGAGAAGGTTTTTTCAATCACATTTGTATTTAATTAACTTGAAAAGGTCATTGAGGACATGTCCATACAAGCAAATGTTCCTGCCCTGGCAATGGAAGAGGTAAATCATCCATCTTTTCTGATTTTTTGGGCACTTCCATTATACAAGTAAATGCTTCTATAGTTGAAAATTAACATAATTTCTTTTGTAGATTGCTTCTCTGGCAGTCTCTGATGCAGCAATGCTTGCTCCTGAGGAAGTGTTTGCTGGCAAAGGAATCGTTAAAGAAGAAACAGAGCTAACCAAGGAAGAGAGGAAGAGGAGAAGGTCAAGCAAGAAAAGAAAATTCAAAGGTGAAATATTAATTAAGTTGTAAATTAACATAGAAATTCGTAAATGAACATTTAAATGAGTGGGGATGTTACAAATTATTATGCTCAGTAATATACTCTGGACCAATACATACTTAACAAAAACATTAAACCCCAGTTTGGTAGAGATTTTTTGAGAATACATTTTGTGAATAGTGATTTTTTTTGGAAAATGTGCGATTAAAAAATTATGGGAAAGTTATGGGTCCACATGTAAAATTATTTTATTGAGAAAATGTGATTGAAACCTAGAAAAAATGAGTTTTTAAAAATGGAGGCCGTATAGAGGCTAAGTTTCCGCTAAGCTTCATGCTTTGAAAAATATTTTATCTAATTTGTGTTGATTGAAAAATACTTGCTTTGGGGTGGCAAAATTGCAGCTGAGGCTACAAAACGGATGGCAAGAAAGGTTCAACAAAACTTGGTGACGAACAGTGCCTCTGGTAACTTTACAATTTCATCCATCATTCATTTTTCTTTGGTTGCTAAGAATCGAGTTGTTAACTGCTAATGCTTCATGAAATTACAGGCAAAGAAGAGTTATGATTAAAGAAATTCTTTTAAGAACCGTTTCTCACGTTGGCCATGTTACTTTCGGGACATCCAGGCAAAAGGCTAATTTCTTCTAATAATACTCTCACCAAAGGGTCAAAGTTTTGGTTTTTCGACCTTTGAACTTCTCCTATTGTATGTTCTCCAGGGGGCAAACACAAAGAAGAAAGGGAAAAAGCTAAAAGTGTTGTTGAAACATAGGAATGGAAAAATGTAGAATCTTAAAGCTTTTTCTTATGCTTGAAATACGACGTTGATTGCCTTAATACGGCTTTGTATTGCGATATATTTTCCAACTAGTGCTCTAATAATTAATTTAATATATACTTATTGTTCTTCCGTCTTAATGCATGAATCTATAGTATATAAGATATGGACTTGCTGACATGGCCTTTGACAGTGAAGGTATAATGCCTTGCAACTTTCATATTTTAGCTTTAAAGCATTTATAGCTGAGTTCCCTTGTAGAAATTAGAAAGGCGAACAGGTGAGTTTGGATGTATAAAATTTTCTCCCAAAACATGATTTGATCGAATGTGATGTGAGTGGCATTGTCATATCATGACGAGGTGCAAAAGGACCTTGTTAAGCCCATGCCAAGGATAGGCTTGCATATTGCTGTAGACTCTCGGGATTGTGCCCTTTGCAATGGCTGCCTATGTCTTTTATGGTTTCGAAAAGCAAAAAATTGTGGCTCCCATCTGTGTACTTGAACTCGAGGCTTTTCAGACAAGGTTCAAAGTTTGGCAGCCTAATTTTGTTGTGTACTGTTATGGTGTACTTCATGACATCTTCGGATTTATGGATGATGAGGAGATTGTGATGAACGTAATCAAGTCTAACACAATCCATTCAACGTGTATCGTCCTGAACTGGAGCGGGGCTGTTTTTATCCAATTTTTAGCTGGGTGGGTCGTCCCAACTAAGGTGGCCGGTTCATGTTGACACTACTGCAGCTATAGTGGGAGATCACTAATGGATGAATAAAGTTATTCATTACCACTGGTGTTGAGCACACGATAATTACATGACATTAAATGATAGATTCATTTAAATAAAGTGTAGCCACATAAAATGGTGTTCTAGCACAACTTGTGCTAGATAGCATTATTCTTAATAGATTTCCTCGTATAATTGAGCGATTACAAATGAGAAGATATTAAAGTTTCCAGTCCCAAAATGGAATGTGAGATCAATCTCAAAAATAATTAGTCTATAATTGAATCTTGACTTGTCTACTTGATTTATATTTTCCAGTCTGTATATGTAAAAGAATATAATCTTTAAAAAGTGTGTGAACATGTTACTCGTTCAAATGCAGCATTGGACAAGCATCAAACATGACTTGTAGTTGACAGCAACAGGATTTAAAAGAAATTATGTGTGGCCTCAGGACCAAAGAAACAATGGTGTTTTGGATCCAACTTTCTATTTTTAATTAGGTAATGATGAAACCATGTCAAAAGAATTTGTTAGGTAGGTCATGTCAACAAGTCAATTTAAATTTTTATAATGCAGTCTCTAGATTTCGTTATAGAAATATTATGGATTTTTTAAGTTAAACGAACCATCACTCTACAAAGACATGTTAAAAAATATATTTTTCGTCGATTGAATATTGAAATATGTATGAATTATGATAGATACAACTTACGCAATTGACTCCAACTTTATTGAAAATATAAATCGCATGGCCTGAATATTTTGACTAGCTAATAATTTTAACTCTTTGAATTATTGTTCTTTTCTCCTGTCCTATTTTCATTTGAGGGACCAAATCTGTAACAAGTCTTTTCTGGCTATAAAGATAAGGAAAGCAGATAAAATAATAGTTTTTGGTAATCTTCTTGTTCATCACAATTAGTTCATTAAGGTAAATTACACTGGAGGTCATTGAACTTTCACCCTAATAACAAAGATGTCCATTGAACTTCAATTTAGAGTAATCAAGTCATAAAACTTTAATTTAGAGACAATCGAATCACTCCATTTGAGTTCAATTAATGTGCTCCTGCAATTTGCTAACATGTCCATCAAGCTAATATAATAACATTGGAGGTCATTGAACTTTTACCCTAATTGTAAATTGAGGTTTAGTGAGGTGAGTTTGGGACCTCTATTGTTATTAATTTGCTCGTGCACCTTGACAGGTTCGCATTTCATTAGTTTTAATGGATGTGTCAACGAATTCTGGTAGGCACAGACTCCAAACGGAGTGGCCTGATTAGTTTTAAATTTAGTGGCTCGATTGCTCCAAATTGAAGTTCACTGACCTGATTGCAACTACGGTGAAAGTTAAATGACCTCCCATGTAATTAAGTCTATTATGAGTCAACTAATCAAGATATTCCAATTTCCAACACTTTCCAAGCTATACATTGCACTCCCCTGTTTACATGCATTATTTCTGCTCAAATTCTTCCCCTTGCGAAGAACAAAAGCCTTATCTCAGACAGTATACCTAGCAGAACCCCCACTTCACCCCACCCCACCCTAGCCCAACAACAGCAGCAGGCACAAATTTTTTTGGGGTTGGTCCTACATCTAGTTAATTGCTAGATCTACTGGAAGATCGATCAGAAAAACAAGTAAACAACCAAGAAAATAAAATTGAAGAACCTGCAGCCATGCCCCTGACCGGCAAGGACAACAGCGGGGATGTGGAAAGGCAACTTGACGCTCCCATGCCATGGATAGGCATGTATGTTGCTGCAGCCTCTTTGGTTTGCTCTCTGGCAATGGCAGCTGATGTGTTCCATGGATTCCAAACCAAAAAATTATGGTTTCCATCGAAGTATTTCTCGATCAATGCTGCTTCTTTATCATTATTGGCAGTGGTAATGAAGTTGCCAGTTGATCTTACGACTCGTATGTGGGCTGTTACAGATAGACTTGCAAAGGTCAGCAGCCTAATCTTTATGTCGACTGCCATGGGAAATTTCATGATATCTTTGGGATCCATGAATGATAAAGAGATTCTCTTGAATTTAATTGCTATAGGAATTCTTGTAATCACAGTCATAGCAAATGATTGTATCCAAATCATCCAAGTGAGGCAATTTCTGGGCGGTCGAGAAATGTTCGCAGAGGAAATTATAGCTAGTTTCTCCATCCTCCTTTTGCTTTTTATGTTATCTGCTTCAGCTATAATGGTCCCAGTTACCAAAAGATATCTTGAATTGAAATATCAAGAAATGCTGAAATTGGCTTCCGATGAAGAGTTGGTGCAGTCCGTGGGGTTTGAAGAGAAACTTACCACGGATAAACTGAGAGCAATTATCAAGAAATATTGGGTGATGGCAGAAACTAGCAGCCCTCAATTCGTGATTGTACGTTCTGTGACCTGTTTGACTTCAGGTGTTATTTCTCTGGCGATTGCTTTCATTCTGGCAGAAGCTCAGGCTCGAATGGCCTTAAAGTATAGAACATTCAGCAAAACAGCTTCTAAGTATGACTGGTCGACAAAGTGGATTGTACTTGCTCAATCTGCTGGAGTGATTGTTGGTACCATTGCTCCTGCATCCAGATGGTTAACTACTGTAAATTTCGTATGCTCGGAGAAAAGCCCAATGAGCTTTAAGACTGCATTCAAAATTGAGAGTTATTGGACGCAGAGGCTGGTGGAATGGAAAGAAAGCTCCTTACCGTTGCAAATTAGAGACAGGAAATGGAGAAAAGTTCTTCATGATGCAAGAAGAATATTTCTGAATCTTGTCATTAGAGTCCAAATCTTTATAGTTCTGTACAGCAAACTAGTCCAGTTTATCTCTGTCTGCTTTGTGAGTCTAATAATCTTTTGTTTTCGCTGCATCAAAAGGTTAAAGAATATGTTCACCTCTGGCGTATCACGTATTCATGGGATTTCGGAATCAGAGTCAGGAGTTAATATGGAGGAGCAGGATTTTACCCGTTATGTTCTGCTACTTGAAGGTGAAGCCGGGATTCCTCAAAAGACCCTCAAAAACATCTGCAAAGAGGTGGATAAAGTGATCGAGATAGGTAAAAAACAGCAACCGGAGAACCTGAAAAATCTTCTTCTTAAAATTGTAAACTACAGCAGCACAAGGGAAATTGACGAATATCAAGTCCCTAGTCTCAATTCTCAGGAACCTCCGAATTGCTGGTCTTTAACTCTGGTGACTCTAACAAGTATCGCCATTGCACTTCCAAACACCTCAATCGATAGTACTAATTGGTTACTGAGCAGCGTTGATGAAGGCCTCTTATACGTAAAACTTATAGAGAAAAGCCTGGACAGAAACGGGGTTCGACTAAACATCAGAAATGCAGCAGACATCATTTGGGTAGCACTCGAACTATATAGAAAGTGGCAAGACAAGGATCTCCATGAAACATCTCGTAAAGGCAGAAATTCCAAGGAGATATTGCAAGAACTCTCTGATGAAGCTGAAAAGATAGTAACGGAGTTTAAGCGAAATGTGAAAGATTTCCTTATGGAAAACCCTCTTCATTGGCCAGTTAAGGTTATAGCTGCCAACTCAATGTACCGAATCACGACAATTCTTTTGCTAGTATATG